CATAATGGTAAAGAAAAATTCTCAATTTAATATTAAAATTGTTATTTGTTGCATTGATTCTATGAATAGATGATAGGAGTTTGAAGTGAAACAAATGATAAAATGAAAGAAGATGATATTATATTAAACAAATGGTGTTTTAATTTTGATTAATAAGTTAATTTATGAATTAGAATTTGCAAATGTTGTTTTTATGTTATAATGTAGTTAGTAGATAAAGACACAAATCAAAATGTTTTAATAGAGTGTAAAAGGAAGAAAATGTATGAAAAATATAATCATATTTTAGAATAATCATATTAAAGTCTTAAAATACATAAAGTATCAACAAATCATTTATTAAGAATAAGTTATTGATGTTATTAAACTTTCAATAGTGCAGTAGAATAATTTATTTGAAAACGAAGATTTGAATAACTTCAATTCTAATTTATTTTAGAAACAGTATTGTTCATAATAATTTATCAGCGACACAGTCAATACTATGTAAGCAACATTGGTTCTTTTAATTAAAAATTTTATATCATCTAAATTTTCAATTAAATGGTTGTTATTTTAATTCATTAATGATAATGTATAATAAAAAATACTAATTATTATCTATTCCAATTTTAAATGACTTTATGGTTTCATTCTTTAACATTTCTTTTTCAAATTTCATTCATTAGATTAATTTAAGTGATTTGATGCAAACTCAGTTCAAATTGCATAACTCGATTTATGACTAAATCATTCTTCATCCTGATATTTTTTCAAAATTTAAAAGTGTTAATTGATTGCACAATGTCAATGTTTCTAAGAGAAGAATATAATTCTTTCGTATTTTCATCTTTTTAATACCTATTTTATCTTTTTACTCAATATTAAATGTTTATTCACATTTTATATTACATGAGAATATCTAAGAGTAAATACAATATTTGTGTAACTAGAATGAAGTAAATAGAAACAATGAAATTAAGAATGTTTAATGTGAAAATATAAAACAATACCATTCTTCATTTTTATAATTCAATTAATAACAAAACAACGCTAATACGACTATATTAAATGATAATGAATATAATCAAATTTACTATCATTATTATTCATTCAAATTATCTAATTCATTTGTTATTTAAACAATAAATAATATTCAAAATAAATAACAATAAATATTTGGTTTTTAAACACGTTGTTTATCATTTCAATGTTTTATATTGTTTAGAATTGATAAATAAACAGTGATAGTCAAAATGAATATTTAATTATTCACACCTTTATAATCTATTTGAATATTTAATAAAAAAACTGATTCAAACAATTCAAAACAGACAGAAATACATTCAATGTAAAAATAAAATGTTGTTGATGATTATAAGATAATAAAATAGACAATCAAAAAAATGAAAATAATTGATGAAAATGATAAACAATAATCATACTCAACATTATATTAAATATAACAAAATGGAAGTAATGAATTTTGTGAAAAAAATGAATTTGAATAAACTGAAGAAGTTATTAAATATAAAATCATAAATAAATGATAAATGATGAAATAAAATGAATAATCAGAATAACATAATAAAATGCAAACAATAATCATTTGAATGTTTATTTTTTTATCAATGAATGATGTAATAAATTATTTTATACTTAACAAGAAAAAACAAAGAGAAATACTCATAATAAAACAACTAAATTAATGAAAATGAATAATTTCATGAAATTTATTATTACATTAATTTTCATTAATTCATATTGTTTTATTCTTATTTATATTTAACTTATCTTCTTTCTTATAATTTAATAAAATAAGACAATGAACGTCATTATTACAAATAAAATATAAGTAATAAAAATCAAATCATTTGAACGACCATTATTCTTTTTGGTATGAAATGTTCTGGAAGTTCATTTTCCCAAAATAAACTCTTTCCTTTATTATCTTCAAAGGAAAATTGACTACGCCATGACTTTGTTTTATTATTTTCTTTGTAAATGACAATATTATTCTTAGTAGCATACAATTCATCTCCAATTGCAAATAGAAGAATACTTGGTCTTGTATATAAATAAAATATATATTGGTGTCGGAACATATACGATAACTGCATTTCAACTAAGTCTCCTTTTGATTCTATTGAAAACACAAATGAACGAATATCTTTTATACGTTCATCAGTTTTGTCAATGTTAGAATGAATATATCCTCCAAATTTATTTCCTTTTGAATCTTCAATAATAATTATTATATGTTCTTTATCAATACTCTTTCTTCAAATATTGACGTATCAATACTACAATTATTATATGTTCTTTATTTATTATTCTGGCAAACACTGATGTATTAACTTTCCAATCATAAATATTGATGTATTTTTATTCCAATCATCACTGATGTACTAATATTCCAATCATCATTATTTGAGTCAAATAATATATTAGATATTCTTTTTTCTGTCCATTCTTCTATTGCATGACCATTTCTTTTGCTTTAATAATTGATTTTTTATTTGGTGTTGATAGTGCTTTTCCCATTTTTGTTGATTTTTAAGTTTTTCTTCTTTTTTCTTTTCTTGTTAATATCATTTTTGATTTTATTAAATCTCTTATTTACTATTAAGTTCTTCTCTTTCACTCCAAATTCTTCTTGTTATGTTTTTAATAACACTTTAATAGTTTCTGTGAAAATGTCATTCATTATTATTATTTCACTATGATTTATTAATATATTTGATTTATATTTATATGATTGTTATTTTAAATTAGATTAGATTATTTTGAGTCATTAGTTAATGAAATTAAATATAGTAAGATAAATAGATGGAGAGAGAATAAGTCAAAAGGGTAAATAATAAAAAATTAATGGCAATAAATTCAAGTGTTATGATAATTAATAAAATGACTGAAATACTATTTCATAATTGTTTATTTATTAATTGAATATCTTTATGTAATAGTGTTAATAATATCATCTCATTAGTTATTAGATATTAACAAATGTGATATATTGTAAATGAATTGAAAATAAAATATAAAATAATATGACATATATTTAATATAAATAGAAGTAATTAATTCATTTAATATTGCTTCAATAATATTGATTGATACAAAAAAATGAAAAGAATGAAATTGAATAAAAATAATTGAAACAATTAATAATAGTATCATCTAACTATTAGATGATAGTTATACAAGAAATTTTAACATCTAAAAATTAGTTAGAAAATAAAAAGGATTATATTTTAGTATATACAAATTATTAAACATAAAATTAATTATTTTATTGTATAAAAGAAATACTCACATTAAATTTATATAAAAACATCATTTTCAAATAAAAAATATATAGTAAAATAGATAACCAAGAAGATATAATACTAAAATAATAAAGGTTACTCAAGAATGGTTCATCAACATAAAATAATAAAATATAACAATTGCCATATTCATACCTTCTAGAAATGATTCTGATAATTATCAATATATTTGTTACTAATTTAAATAATTATCAAAAATAATAAAACTAAAATTGAAATAACACATTTATTTATTAAAAAAAATAATAACAAATAATGTTATTGAAATAATTATTAAGTTATTATACTTTAAAAAATAGTCATAAAAACGTTAAAATCTTAAAACACAATGATTGGTTATAATTTTTTTATTTAATAACAAAAAAAAAAATGAAAATCTTAAAGAAAAAAAAATAGTTACTTTGGATAAAAAGGTTGACATCTTTTTTATTTTCCTAAAAAGAAAAAAACCTAACTTTCAAGTTTAAATAACAATGAATTCTCCATTTAATATTGGAGTTACTGTTTGTGGTTCTCCAGACAGTGGAAAGACAGCGTTCATTAAAAGACTTACTGACGATGAATTTTCTGAAACAAAAATGGAAAATTATGTAGAACATGTTTGTTGTATTATTTATCATTAATTATCATCGTTATTAACAAACTAGCAAAAATTAAAACAAATGACAATAGATAATTTTCCTATTCAAGTTAGTATTATTGAACGTGGTAATGAATCATTTATGAAACAAGCAAGCACTGACCCTGCTTCTCGTGGAGACATTTTGTTTTATTTATTTAATGCCACTGATAAAGAGTCATTTGATAATACGTTAAATCTTTTCAATTATTTTGTTCGGCTTAATGACAGTGCAGTTATGTATCTTGTTGCTAGTTTTACGGATTGTGGTAAACGTGCAATTAGTATGACTGAAGGGAAAGCTTCTGTAAATGATCAAGATGGTTTTTATGCAGAGATAAGTTCGAAAACAGGTGATGGAATTCAAGAATTATTGCAAACAGCAATTCACAATTACTTACAGTCACAATACAAGTTTGTTTATTTTGTCAATTTCCTTTTAAGTAATTGCCTTTCTAGAACTTATCATTAGGTCAATCCAAAAAAGAGTGCAAGATTACAAAGCTATAAACAAAAACGCAGGAAAGAAAACAAAGAAAGGAGGATGTTTATTGTTATAAATTATTCCATTTTGTTCTATGGACTTTCAGAAATAACTTATTTTTCTTTTTTAGTATCATTTTTTCTATATTTTAAATGTCATTGTTAGGATTATTTTTTCAATTATTTGAATTAAAAACTGGAAGTTCATTCTTCTATTTTTATACATTCATTTTTATAATAAATAATGAGATGTAACCCATAAATTATTATAAAAGAATATAAATAGAATATGACTGTGAAAAATAGAAAATCCTTTTTCCAAAAGAAAATTATTTTGTATCATAATATTTATTAATATTTCCTTTTTATACTGATTAAGTAGAATATGTTATAAGTTATTCTTAAATTTGTTTTAAGTATAAATAATGTTTTTTTTTTACTTAAATTTTGTGGTGTTATATTAGATACTTCATAAACATTTCTTCATGGTTATGAATTAATTATTCAAAATCATAACGTATTATTTTTGATTGACAAAATGACTGTCATAGTTTCTAAAATAATACTTCTAACACTTGATTATTTGAAAAAGTATAGCATATTACTATGATTGTTGTTGTAACAATTTGGTAATACTTTTATTTTAATATTTTTAAAAAAATATGCTAAATAACTTTTTGAATCTTTTGAAAGAGCTTTTAAGTAATATTTATAGTTTATGAATATTAAGAATGATAAATTAAAAAAGTTCACCAAACATTAAGGTGATTATGAGGTGATTATGGTTATATGAGTAATTTTAATTCTTGTTTCAACATTGTTTTCAATTAAAATATTTTTTTATTATGAAAATAGTATAAGATAATTTAATAAAGAATTATTCAGAAAGGATTATGTTACTAACCTATAATCGTTTTTAGAACTTTCTGGTTAGTGCTTATTATATTTTTTGCTATTAGAATAATCATTTTATATTTTTGGTAATTTTTCTTCATAATATTTTTCATATATTTTATATTTGTATTTTTTATTTTATTGTTCTAATAACAAGAATCTATTAATTTTTTCAATCAGAATTATTTTCAATATTTAATTGTTAATTATCTAATTACCAATATTTTTTGTTTTACTGAATTAGTTAAATTAGTATTCAATGTATAAGAATGATTAGTTGTTATTCTATTTTTATGTCTCACATAAATTATAAAATATAACACATCTTCTTTTTTTAAAATGATTAATCCCATTGTATTCATTATGAGAAAATTATCTATTTAATTGTTTCTTTCATATTTTTAATACTTTAACTATTCTTGTTTATTCTAATTTTCATAATAATCATCATTGAATCTATTTTTTATTTTTTTCTCTTTCTTTCTTATTAATTAATGTGTTTGTTTCAATATCATTAAACTTAATTGATTCTTTCAAGAAAAATACAGTCTTAGAACCTAAAACTCTTAACTAAAATAGGTATGATTTATTTCAGAAAATAAATATATATTAAATACAATTGTATATTATTGGATTGTTTCTTTAAAATTAAATTTTTTACTTATTCTTATATTTATAAGAATTTATTTTGTAATTATTAAATACATTCTTCATATTATTTTTTAATATTGTATATTAGTATTAAAGAATTATATTTAATCTATTGGTTCTTTTTATTTATAATTCCCTTTTTAACAAACTTTAATAAAAATTAGGTATTTCATTATTTTTTTATCACAAAAAAGTAAAAATATAAAAACCAAAAAAAAAGAAAAACTCAATTTTTGATATTGAATTTGAATATAATTATCAGATGAGTGAAAGTGATGATGTACAAGAAATTGATTTAATAGTTATTGACGATGATTGTTGTGATAATTTTGAGATAGAAAAAAGAAAATATAGTGTAGAAGAGGAAAAGAAAGAAAATTCAAATCAATCAATAGCAAACACTCTTAATACTTTACATTCGTTTGGTTTAAAAAAAGTCAGTTTTCCAGAAACAGAAGAAAAGGAAGAATTACAAAATGAAATAAATAATTGTAGTGATGCTGAATGCATGTCAAATAATATTATTAGTTGTAACACACAAAAAATTGATTTAAACAATCCATCATCAGAACACACTCCATTAAATTCAAAAGATCTTCTCATCATTGAAGATACTAAGAGATCCATACAAAAAACAAAAACACCACCAAAGTTACAGTCTCTAATAGACGATTTTATTAAACCAAAAAACTCATTTGAACCTCAAAGAACTAAAACATTAGAATTGAAGAAGACTAAAACAATTAGTGATGTGTTTGAAGAAATGGAACGTGCTAGTAGTCAAATACTTCTTCGAACAGACACTCTTCCAATAAAATCTCATTCTCCTATCTCTAAAAGAATATCTTCAGATTTTTTTACTTTAATGTTTAAAAAAAGTAATACATTAGAGTCACATGAAGATGACCCTGATGCTACAAAGAAAACATCGTCTTTAATAGACTTATGTGAAAATGATCCAATAATAATTGAAAATATAAATGAAGATAATCCTTATTATCAGAAAGTATTTAGTGAAAGTGATAAGAGACTACTAATTGAAAGAGAAAAAGAACTTACAAAACAATTAAAAGAAATTAAAGTATCAGACGAAACATTTGAACAAATAAGAAAAATTGCATTTGAACGAGAAGAAGTAAGAATCCAATTAAAAGTTATAACATCAAGAGAAGCTACTCAAAAAGGCAATACAACAATTAGGCTGAAAGAAAATGATAAAGTTGGAAGAATTACTTTGTGGAAGAATCATGAAGCAAAAAAAGGATTTGAACCATTTAAAATAGAGGAGCAAATACCAGACGTAGTTCAATCAACTAACATTAGATCATATCCTATATGGACAAATTGGTGGGGAGAAAATTTTCATTGGAAAGAAAGAGTCAAAGAAGTATTACATAAAGTATTTCATCATGAAACACTTCGATTACTTCAATACCCAGTTATCAATGCAATATTAGCTGGACATAATGTTCTTGCATTAATGCCTACAGGAGGAGGGAAATCATTATGTTATCAATTACCGTCATTATTTAAAGATGGATATACATTAGTTGTATCTCCTTTAATATCTCTTATGCAAGACCAAGTAAAAGCATTAAATGATTTAGGAATACCAGCTATTACTTGTAATAGTAATAATCCAGAAAATATAGATATTTTCATTAATGACATTGAAACACGTAAAATTAAAATTGTTTATGTTGCACCAGAACTTCTTTCTTGTAGTTGGAAGATGAATGAGGCAATGAAAAAACTATATGACCGAGGATTGTTTTCATATCTTGTTATTGATGAGGCTCATTGTATCAGTCAATGGGGACATGATTTTAGACAATCATACGTTGAATTAAGAGAATTTAGAAAAACATTTCCATCAGTACAAACAATTCTGTTTACTGCAACAGCAACAGAAAGAGTTAAAAATGATATATTATTATCTATGGGACTTGAAGAAGCTATTGTATTTAATCAAACATTTAATAGACCAAATTTAAGATATGAAACGAGAGTTAAATCACCAAAAGTTGAAGTTGATATTGCTCATTATATTCAACAACATCCAAATCAATGTGGAATTGTATTTTGTCTTTCTAAAAAAGATTGTGAAAGTTTAAGTAAATTTCTTGTTAATTATGGAATAAGAGCTACTCATTATCATGCTGGACTAGATGCTAAAAGAAGAAAGAAAGTTCAAAATGATTGGATGAATGGAACATTTTTAGTGGTTTGTGCTACTGTTGCGTTTGGAATGGGGATTGATAAACCAGATGTTCGATTTGTTATTCATCAAACTATGCCATCAAGTATTGAACAATATTTTCAAGAAGCAGGAAGAGCAGGTAGAGATGGAAAACCAAGTGATTGTATTATTTATTTTAATATGAAAGACATTTCTAGAGTAGAATGGTTAAAAAGAGATATGGGTAAAAATGAATTAACATCATCACAACAACAATCCATTAATGCAATGGTTAATTTATGTATAACTTCTGAGTGTAGAAGAAAAATTCAATTAATGTATTTTGATGAAAGTTTTAATGAAGAGAAATGTACAGGATGTGATAATTGTGAAAGAAAAAAGAAATAATCAAAAAGTGATTAAGAAAAAAAAAAAAAATCTGTTGTTGATGACAAAATTTTTTTTAATTTATAACAAATTTATTATTTTACTGGATATTTCTTTTAAATAACAAAAGAGAAAAACTATAAATTCTTTCATTACTTAATAAGGATAAAAGATGTTACTTGGCATTTATTTATTTCTTATAGTAATAGTTGGAATACTTATTATTATTTCTTTAGTAGGTTCAAGAGCAAAAAGTGATTCAGTTTTAGGAAAAATGTATGAAAGTATTTATGTTAAAAATAAAATTATTCACGGAATAACTGAATACCTTTTTTATAAACCAAATCCTCTTCTTATTATATTAATGGGGGTTCTTATTATTGTTGGTTATGTTTTATTAGCTATTGAACCTATGAAAGTTTTAAATTCACATGGTCATTGGTTAATATTCCCTCATCTTCAATTTCTTGGTACATTAATACTTTATTGTTTAGCAATTAAAACACCTCCTGGATATATTAAAAAGTCTAACTTAAAAGTATATCAAAATAGATATCCATATGATAACATTTTATATAAAAGAGAATCAAATTGTGAATATTGTCATTTAGAAAAAATACCTAGAAGTAAACATTGTAAAAGATGTGGTAAATGTGTTGCTCGATTTGACCATCATTGTCCTTGGATTAATCAATGTGTTGGTGAAAAAAATTGTAAATTCTTTTTATTTTTCTTATTATCTATGTCTATATCATTAATTACTATAACTTATTATTGTATTATTGCTATTAAATACTTTATGGAAGATCATAATATGACAGGAAAACATCCTGCTATTATTACTCCAACTACCACTATTCCTTTAGACTTATCGTTGATTTTTATTATACTATTTAACTATATGAGATATACTATTATGATGATTATTCTTTGTTCGGTTATGGGAGTTGCTGTTTTATGTTTCTTTTTAAATCAGTTATATATTACTAGTAAAGGTTATACTACATATGAAAAAATTAAATGGGATAGAATGTATGATGAATACCAACAATATCTTAATGAGATTGATAAAATGACTGAAGAACAGCAAAACGATAATTCTTTAGAAGAGGTTGTTAATCCAGATTCATTAATTAATTATTATGATAATGGATTTTTAAATAATATAAAAAGTGCTTTATTCCCAGAGAAATATCCTCAAGCAAATTCTAAATTAAAGAAACACAAATAATTCTTTTTGTTTTTAATTTTTTTATAAAAAAAAAGAAAAAAACTTAAAATTCTATTCAACGATAATATTAAAGGGATAATTATAATAGAAATAATAATTATCTAAAGGCACGTTGAAAAAGTAAAAAGGAATTGATCATAACAATTACTAAGAAATAAATTCTTAAAATTTGTTTTGAGAATTTATTTATTTCGTCATGGGACGATGGTCAAGAGAGGGGGGCATTGAAATGCGGAGAAGAATATTATTATTTTTTCTTACGAAAACAATGCTAAATATTAACAAATAATTTTATAAAATGTATTATTTAATTTAGTTGAATAATAACCAACCATCTTCTCTTTGTTGAGTATTAGATAATAAAAGATGAGAATTTACTCCAGATGGTATTCTTAAAGCAACAGTCAGATTTGATTGTGATTCATCAATTTTATTTAGAGTATAACTAAACGATTTATTTGTTAAAGGAAGAATTCCATAAATATCATTTGTTGATTCTTCTTCTCGTTGAACTTCAAAAGTTATTGGGTCTATTAATCCATAATGAATTTTCCAATGATAATAAAATGGAGCAACTCCATCATTAGTAATTGTTATTTTAATTTCAATAGAATTACTATTTTTAATGATTGAACCTTCTGTGGCATAATAATTATATCCTAATAATCTTTCTGCTTTATTTCTTCTTTCAACCCATTCAGAATGAGTTTGTATCCAGTCTTGAGTTCTTCCAAAAAACCAATTAGATAATACCCAAGAAGCATGATAATGAACAGTGTCATTAAGGAATTTTTGTGTTTTTGTGTCTGATTCAAAACGAGTTGATTGTTGTGTTGGATCTTCTTCTCCACCAAAACTAAAAGTTTTCCAACGATCAGTAACATTATACCTATTGATAAGACTATCCATATAAACATCATGATCACTATTACCAAACATGTCATGATAAAATCCAATTCCTCTTGTTTGTGACCGTGTTTCAGGAACTCGTACTTCACACATTGTAACTCTGAAATTATTTAATGCCATATCCATAATTCTATCTAATGTTTCATCAGTTGGTTTTTTTGATGTATCAGTAATATATGTTGTATGCCATTCTCCCCAATGTCCATAAGTGCCAAGCTGCCAAAATCCAATACGAGGATCTCCATCAAATTTCTTACCTAATTCTTTGAATAAATATTCTAATTGTGTTAATAAATATTCATCATTATAATTTGGTGATTTACCTGCTCCTGAAGCACCATTATAATCATACATCTCAATTTTATTTTGAATGTATGTTGGAACAAAACTACTTTCACTTGGTGAATCTAAAACAAGACGAATAACTGCTTGTGTTTTCATTTCTTTTATTCGTTCTAAAATCGAATCAAGATAATCTAAATTAACAGTGTTTTCTCCAACTAATACCTTATTTAATTCTAATCGTACATATTGTATACTTAAAGGTAACTTTGCTGTATTTCCACTTCCATACCACATCCCAAACCCCTTTAATGGATTTCCAAGAAAACCCTCTGTTTTTGAAAAATTGATTATTGTTTCATTGTTATCTTTATTCTTTGATAATCCGACTGCAAGTCCAATGACTAAGGCAAGTAAACAACAAAACACTATAACTGAAATAAATAGTGAAATTCCTATAATAACTCCTTTCTTCATTTGAAATATTGAAATGATAACCTAAAAACTTTGAAAAAAAATAATAAAATTCAATAAAAATTCAATTAATTTTGATAAAATTTTTTGTTGTTGAATAATAGATTTGATAATGAATCATTTG